ATTCTGCTGAATTCTGAAAGGTGTCCCTAATTGAGTCAAACAGCTGCTTTGTTTTTCTTATTCTGATTGAATTACTTCAAATGTTTTTGTTTGATAGGGTCATCAACTGCCCTAACTTGGGTTGCATTTACAATGATGTAAATCAAGGATAGGGACCTAAGACCTGGAAGCTGAATGTGACCCCTGAATTGCCTGGACCTTAGGGCCTCCCCAAGCACTGAGGAGCCTGAGCTGGCACTTCAGCCCCCTACCCACCTCTCTGCAGCCCCTGGCCTCTGACTGATTTTTCTGTGGGTCACATAAATAGTTCTAAAAAATGAATCTCATGCACTCTTCCGTGATACTATTGATGGAGGTTGGGTGCAGAAGAGAGCTCAGGGTAGGGGATACAGTGTAGGAGGGGAGTGCAAGGTCCAGGAAGGGGTATGGGTGCAGGACAAGATTCTGACCTGAAGGAGGGGTGCAGGAGTGAGTCCAGCGTATTAGACAGGATCACAAAGAAAAACCAGTTTCTTGCCATTTCAACCAGAAAGGACACTGTCTCAACGACTTAATTACCTGCATCCTGCTTCAAAAGCCTTTTAAAACTGCACTTGAAAGGGAATCCTCTGAACTGTTGTTTATGCTAAAATTCGACACTTTGCGCGGGGATTTAACAAAGACTCTAGGGCTACGTCTACACTGGCCCCTTTTCCGGAAGGGGCATGTAAATTTCAGCAGTCGTCGTAGGGAAATCCGCGGGGGATTTAAATATCCCCCGCGGCATTTAAATAAAAATGTCCGCCGCTTTTTTCCGGCTTTTAAAAAAGCCGGAAAAGAGCGTCTAGACTGGCCCCGATCCTCCGGAAAAAGCGCCCTTTTCCGGAGGCTCTTATTCCTACTTTGAAGTGGAGCCCATCCTTCCTGTATAGGCTCCCCCTCTCCCAAAAGTGTCCCCAGTTCCTAATAAATCTAAACCCCTCTTCCCTACCCCATTGTCTCATCCACGCATTGAGACTCCGAAGCTCTGCCTGCCTACCTGGCCCTGCGCGTGGAACTGGAAGCATTTCCGAGAATGCCACGATAGAAGTCTTGGATTTCAGTCTCTTTCCTAGCAACCTAAAATTGGCATCCAGGACATCTCTCCTACCCTTTCCTACATCATTGGTACCTACATGTACCACGACCACTGGCTCCTCCCCAGCACTACACATAAGTCTATCTAGATGCCTCGAGAGATCCGCAACCTTCGCACCAGGCAGGCAAGTGATCATACGGTTCTCCCGGTCATCACAAACCCAACTATCTATGTTTCTAATGATCGAATCACCCACTACTAACACTGGACTCTTCCTAACAACTGGCATTCTCTCCTCCCCCTCAGAGGTATCCTCAGCTCGAGAGGATACCGCAACATTCTCTGGGAGGGGGGTTCCAACTACAGGATGGTTTCCCTCTGCTCACATTGAATGCTCTGTTCTGTTGAGACTTTCATCCTCCTTAAGAGCACTTGGGCTCTCAGACTGGAGGTGGGCAGTACTACAGTGTCCTGGAAAGTCTCATCAACATATCTCTCTACCTCCCTTAGCTCCTCCAGTTCAGCCACCCTGGCCTCCATCGCCCGAACTCGGTCTCTGAGGGTCAGAAGCTCCTTGCAACGGGTGCACACATACGCCGCCCACCCACAGGGCAGGTAATCATACATGTTACACTCGACACAATAAACAGGATAGCCCCCACTCTGCTGCTGGGCTTCTGTCTCCATTTTTATTATAAATAAGTTTAAGTATAAACTGGGCTTCTTATTAAATGTCTGGAATATAGATTATTATAAAAGTTATGTTTAAAGAAGGTCAGAAGTCACTAACGCCCTCTAACCTCCCTCTCCAAACTCCCTGTTAGCTGCTCCTGGTCGTGAGCTCCCTGGTCGCTGACTCAGAGCTTATGAAGTCTGGTAGCCTCTCCCCTTGACTGAGGCTCAGTCAATTAACAGAGGCTTCTAGATTTCAAACCTTTTAGAAGCTCCTTCAAACAAACAAACACACACACACACACACAGCAAATAACCGCCCCACACACAAACACACACTCCAGGCAGCCACTTACCACAAGGGTCCCATATTCACTCCTCCTTTACCTGGAGAACTTCCTCTCCAAACTGATCACTGTCATATTAATTTTATACTTCAAGAAAGTCAGTACTGGGGCACAGCTGGTACAAGAATCAGGCCCAAGATGTTTATTCAGCTGGGTAAAAGCCTTTAGTTGGATGTGTGTCCGATTAAACAAAACCCACATTTAGTTGAATTAAAAATATTTTCAGATTGATCCTCTGAAAAAAAAATTACTTTCCTGAGCCAGGAAGTTAGAAATGGAAAACTATTAGCAGCAGTAAAATGTTGCTTAGCAGGCAATACGTTTTGGGTGTTAACAGTTTTGAGACTCTGCTAGAAAGACAGCATTAAAGGAGTGTTATGGAGTAGCTAGTTTCTGCCCAAGGATCACATCACAGGATGCTGTTAATTTCACTTTACATATTTCAGATTTTCATAGCCTGTAATGACTCCTAGTATAACTAGTTAAAAAATCCTGTGAAAAAGTCCCCACTATACAATTATTTAAACTGTTCTTGCTGTATTGGCTAAACCTGCTTTGAGATTATGGCCTCGATCCTGCACAGATTTATACATAGATTTAATTATACTGGTGAATTTTATACTTTCATTTCAAATGGGACTATTCAACTGCATAAAATTAGCCATATGGGTAATCTTTGCAGGATTAACATTAATCTGTTGAAATTATATTTATTTTTATCTATCAACTACTGTACAGGTGATTAGAGTCTAACTTGACTGCTCCTGAATACCTGAGAGAAGCATGAACTAAATCAGAAATTTGTCTTCCAATGGTCACAATAGTCATTGAGTGGTTCAGTGCAAACGCTCCTTGCAAAAAGGCTGAGAAATCAAAATTTTGGAGTACTGGAAAGAGCAAGTTTAAGCCAAAAAAGTGAGCACAGAACAGGCAGACAAACAGATTGTAAAGAGGAATTACATATACATATTTATTCATTTAAAATAAAAAGAATGAAAGGATGCGTAAGAGGAGAGAGGCATTTTATTTTCATGAGTTACAGTGACTATATTCATGAATTGAAAAGCCATAAATCAGTGAAGCAGTCATTGCAAAAACTGAAATGCAATGTTTATACTATCTTTAAAGGAATAGCTATAACACCATTGTAAGTTTAATACTTAATTATCGTAAAATATATTGATATCCAATATGCGCAAATATTGCTTCAGTAACACTTTTAAATATTTAAACAGTAGCTGAGGAACATGACCATAGTAGTCTGGGTCCAGTATCATAATGAGGATGGTTTGATGATTAAAGCAAAGTGTACTGAGATAACTCTGAGGCTTGTACTTTAGCCAGTAGATCATCTTTATCATCCCATGTTTTATTCTCAAGTCAAATAAGTGCCTTGTTTCTCCAGCTGTAAAATTATATTTGAGACTGGAACCTCTAATTCACTCATATTAGTGAAAAGTGAAAAAGGAGTACATATGTACACTTATCAGTGTAAAGGATGTAAAGGCTTTGAACCGGTCCTATGATAACTGTTATTCAAATAAATCTTAAAAATAAATTAAAAATAGGATTATTATTCAGAATGTGAGTCTGAGAAAACAAAGAAAAAAGTGAACAATTTAAATTTGGTTTTCATATAGCTTCTTATAAGGAAAGAACAACGTCCTTAAAAAGACAATTTGAAAAAAAGAAATTATTTATGAAAATTGCTTTTTAAATCCCAAAATAATTTTAAATGAACTAACTTTGGTAGTGTATATTTTGTTTTTATAAAATGATATTTTTAATTAAAAAGGACTTCTGTACTGTCAACAGCCTTTTATATGGAGAAAGATCACATTAAACTTCCTTTTATGAAGTTTCAATTCTAGGGCAACCTACGGTTTTGATCCCCTCACTCATTCTCTCAGTGGGCACCTCCTTTGAGTGACAAGTTATGGTTGCCCTTCTGTATCTGTAAAGGAAATGCCATGATTCACTCTAATTTGAGTCTGGCTCTCCACACTGTAGCATCCCTGTTTCTTCAGTAGGTCCAAATGTGTTTTGGCCAGCTACACACTTCCCTCCTGGAACCGTGGGCAGCAGGAAAATACAGCAACGGGGAAAAGCTTGCTCAACACGAAGTATTACTTATTTGTAGGAACACACCAATCAAAGACAAAAGGGGTTAAAACAACTAACATCAAAGATTAGCATTTCCCTTAAGATTTAGGTACACCTGACTTACTTTGCCCCCCCCCCTTCTAATAGGGACCAAGACGATGGTAAACTTCAAAGGAATTAATATCTCCCTTGCCCATTTCAGTATCAGCAACTGAGTGAGCTTCAGCCATTGCTGGG